CTTCAAATACACGATGAGGTTGGACGTACGAATCTTCCCCGGTTCTGTTCCACCACGGGAAACTTGTGCATGATAAGTGCTGCACTGAGCCAATTAGTCTTTTTCTGACTTTAACGAAAAATACAGCCACATGACCGACATTGTTCCGTGCTACTTTGCTAGCACACACTGTTCTGATCACGTGGACTTTGCTTGCTGGTTCTGGGCACTGCTGAATTTAATGTACTGCTAATATCGGAGATTTACGATGCAGTCCGATATAATCTGATACAGCGTCTTTGGGCCGATGTCCGATACCAATATCGAAACAGGACATCCCTAGTATTAAATTGGTGTTGTCTAGTTCCCTCTTTCTCAGCTTTCGGCGCCCTTGTTAAGCTATTCTATAGACCACATGGGCCGCCTCGCGCCGCGAATCGCCTCGCGCCGGCGCTCCAGCCCGAGCCGTGCAGCAATCATTTCGGCGTTGGCTCTATTTTTTTCGCGAGCCGGGGGTGAATCGCGTCAATTCTGGCAGGAAGTCAAACGTAGACATAAGAGGCAGGCCGGTAAAGTAACAAAATAAAGCATTTCAAAATAAAATTCCGCAATAGTCAAACGTGTTCGTAAACAGACACTGCAGAAAAACCACACAAACACGCACACACATACACACACATCGAACTTGTGTGCATGTGTGACCACGTGAAGGGGGGTGTGGTTTTGGATGTCTTTTCTCCCGAGCAAACAGGACAGAGAGGCAGAAAGTCTGAGGCAAGCAGTTAAGATGGATGACTTTAAATTAATTATGGAAGTTGAGAAACACAAGGAGCTGTACGCCCCCCGAAAAACATGGTTGTTTACGTACCCATTTAGGAAGAAACTGCTAGGATACAGCTGCAGAATTGGAGCGGGTTCCAAGAGATTCAACTGGCAGAAACAACTCATACCATAGGTTCACTCACACACACACACACACACACACACACACACACACACACACACACACGCTCGCTCGTGCGCACGCGTACAAACACTCAAACGTAGAGGAAAAGAGCTGAGGAAAGGCAGAGAGGAAATGGAGGACACCAAGTGTTTAAAAGAAAAACTACAGCTGAGCCGAGGCGCGCCTCGACTGGGGCGCGTCTGATCTGAACTGAGGAGTGGCGAGCAGCGGCCGAATTTCGTGAGCGATTCGCTTCTCGGCGCTTCGCGGCGCTTCCGCGGCGCTTCGCGGCGCTTCCGCTGCGCTTCCGCGGCCGGTGTGTCCCCGGCGTTACATGGACAAGCACCATCTTACATTGGTGATCTTCTTAGTCCCTACACCCCCAGCAGGTCCCTGAGGTCCAGTGATCATAGCCTACTGGTTGTGCAGCACCAGGCTAAAGGTCAAAGGTGACAGATCATCTGCTGCTGTGGCCCCAGACTCTGGACCTCTCTCCCCCTGAGCCTGAGATCAGTGGACTCAGTGGTCTCCTTTAAAAAGCAGCTGAAGACTCACTTGTTCAAGCTGGCTTTTGTATGACCTTCTTCACCACTCTCTCTTTATTCTGCTCTCCCCACCTATTCCACCTTCCTCACTGATTTCCCTCTTTCCTATTCACTCTCTCTCTCTTTCTTAACATTTTTTCTTTTAAATCCCAATTGCCTATTTTTGCTCATTTTAAATATATTTTTAAACATTTTCTAAATGCTTTTTTATATTTTTTGTTTTTGTGAAGCGCCTCGTGATTTTTATCTTGACAGGCGCTATAGAAATGATATTTTCTTCTTCTTCTTCTTCTTCTATTTAGAATGTATTTTTATTACAGCCTTTAAAAAATCTGCTTAAAAGTGAAAAAAGCAAAAAACGGATTTGAATTTTTTACAGTTATTACTGAACTTCAAAATTACTGGGCAAACAATTTAAACTTTGAACTGAAATGCATCTATTCTTAAAAAAGTTTGAACCTTGGTGTCTTGTAGCAGTTTTTAAGACTTTATTTTTGTAAAGTTTCAGACGTTTTTATTTGATGTGGCAGACCTTGAAGCAGTTTCTCTCCAGCTGCAGGCAGAGTCCTGCACACTTCACACCGCCATGGGGTGCTTCTCTGGCACACCGTGCACTGCTATACCAAAAACTTTAGTTTTAGCAAAAATAATTATTTATTGTAAAAAGATAAATAATGCTGGAATGATGCTGAATCTTACAATTAGCAAATAGTTGAGGGTTGTTCAAATAAAAAAATAAAGACTGAATAAACGTTCATATCCTGGTTCACTGGAGATCTGTCCTTCTTCGTGGTCACTGTCTTCAGATATAAGACTTCTGGGACACCTAATAGATCGTGTTGATTTTCTTTGAGGCATTTCCATAATTTCATGCTGGCTTTTATGCTGATTAGCTTCCCCGTTCCGTTATCCGCTTTCACCGCGGCGCTGCGCTCCGTTTCAATCAGGCTGTACAGCAGGATTTCCCCTTGTAGCGATATTTTCCCTAACTCTGATTGCTTCATGCTATATATCGTTGGAAAGTTGATTTTATGTACTTTTAGGAACCGTTGGAATTTCCTGGATCTGATCAGCCTTTCAAAAGTTATAAACGTGAACATTTTGGATGACTAACTCAGCACGTCTCTGAATCTGTGTTGTGATTCGGTGCGCTCAAGACAGGGAATCCCGGTGGCTACCGTAATGTATTGTATATGCACGAAAAGCCCCATTTTTAATCTTTTCAGCACTTTTGGAATTTTAATGATATCTTGAACGGTTCAGGAATTATGGTAATGAGAAGTGCGCATGTCCAATCCCGTCTGCGGCCTCAGGTTGGTAATAAGAATATTGTGGCATTAACAGAGGGGTGCTGGCGGTCAGGGCTAGGGGGCCCCCCAACACAAGGGGGCCCCAGGCGGCCGCCTACCTATGCCTAATGGTAAAACCGCCTCTGTGTGTCAGTGCCTCTCTTTATTTCCGGTAATGCTTCCTTTTACAGTCAACTAATTACTAAGTACTTACATGGCAATTACATAGTAGGTTAAAGTGTATTATTGTGTTATTAAAGTGTATATTGTGTAAAGCAGTATTTACTGGGAATGATTAATAAAAATAAATACTAAAATTGAACCTGTGTTACATGGTAATAACGGTTTAAGAACTCAGAAACAATAATACACTTTAACTTACAATGTAATTACCATGTAAGTACTTATTAATTAGGGGACTGTAAAATAAATTGTTACCTTATTTCCAAAATAGCTTCTTTATTTTAAATTTAAGTTGAAATAAAATGATAAATTGAAACCTAATAAAACATTAGGCTAGTTTGTCTCAACAACATCGCCACACAGTTAAAGAAAGAAAATAAGTTATATAATAATAATATCACCGCTATTATTAAAAAAATATCTATGAAACGACTGGAGAGGAAAGGAAAATTAAAAACAATAAAAGGAATCCAAATATCAGGTTTGGTTTAATATTAGAAAGTGTAACTAGGACTCATCCTAGTACTGAATGAGACTTTTTTTGCACTTTCATATATGTTATTTATTTATTTCTACACGTTCATCTGACTTTAGAGAGGGAACTGACCCTTGTTCAAGATGGGGGAAGATTTATTAGGAGGAACTTGTTAAAATCAGAAAATCATCTAACTCTCAAGAACTTCTTCAGATTAAATTCTATGTTTTAAATGAACAAACTTTAACACTGAGTAAATTAATTTTGACATAAGCCTGATAAACAGGCTGGATATCTGTCTGTCCGTCTGTCCGCCCGCCCACAGCTAAGAGTTACGGCTATGTCACAAATGGGAACCTTTATAATTTATGTAAAATAATTGAAATTCCTTGTTTTTTTCTTTCAGTGTTTCTTTTCTGTTTCCATTGGTTTTCTGTTTCTTGTCTATGGGGGCAGCAGTCTAACCGGAGATGCCCAGCCTCTGTTTCCTCTGTGGAAGCCCTCTGCCCCAGGGGCGGTGGTCCGCTGTGGCGCCCTGGGTGCTTTCCAGGTGTGCCTGGGTGGAAGTGGGGGGTCTCCGACCTCCCTGCCCTGGGCGCCCTGTGTCGGTGCCTCGGCTGCTGCTGTGGAGCTGCTGCTGCTGTTGGGGCGGATGGCTCCCCTGATGGCGTTTCCTTATCTTAGCTGGTCTGGCTCATCAGAACTCAGTCCATTTTTTTTTTTTTTTTTTTTTTTTGTCTTTTCTATTGGGGGGGATGAGTTTTGTGATGGGGTTTTTATTGTCAGACTGTTTTTAAAATTCTGGGGATGGGAGGGAATGTGGGTATGCATGGCCTTTTTAATTTGTTAAGCACTTTGAGTTGCATGCTTTGTATGATTAAGTGCTATATGAATAAAGTTTGATTTGATTTGCCCAGGCGTCCCTCTTTCCAGCCACTTGGGCCAGCTCCTCAGGGGCAATCCCAAGTTGTTCCCTGGCCAGCTGAGAGACATAGTCCCTCGTGTCCTGGGTCTACCTTTAGGTCTCCTCCCGGTTGGACGTGCCTGGAAAACCTCACTAGGGAGGCATCCAGGAGGCATCCTGACCAGACGCCCGAGCCTTCTTAACTGGCTTCTCTCGATGTGGAGGAGCAGCGGGTCTACTCCGAAACCCTCTCACATGACTGACTCACCCTATCTCTAAGTCAGTGCTTCTGTAAGGAAAAATTATTCAGGCAGTCAAAAATGAGAAAGGCAAACTTTCTTTTACGGGTCATAAAAAATCTGAGATTAAAGTTCAACTTAAATAATTTCTAAAATTAAAAGAGAAACAAAATGGAAAAAAATAGTGAGATAGATTGAGACAAAGAAAATTAAAACCCAAAATAATAAAATACAGACTGGCCAACAAAGATGGAACTAGAGACACAAGACGAATTAGGAAACTATTGATGAGGACAAAGCAGAACTCCAGACACCAAACAGAGACCGGTGGCTTACAAGACCCAGAAGCAGCAGACCTGCTGGAGGAAAGACAAACATAAAAAAGATGGATATGAAGTCGAAGGCGGCTTGTTCTAAGAGAGGTTTTATTTTATTTGCAGGGAAGATCGTCATCGATGGAATCGACATCTGTAAGCTTCCTCTGCAAACTCTTAGGTCTCGACTCTCCATCATCCTGCAGGATCCGGTGTTATTCAGCGGCTCAATAAGGTACACAAACCCACACCAAGCTTCTGGATAACCTCTCTGATTACACGCGGCTCCCAGAGGAAGCACTGCTGCTACTTCCTGTTTGTGATTTTAGATTTGTTACCATTTGTATGAGAAAAAAATTATTTCCATACATTTTTTTTTTATGAAAAGCTGATTTGAAACACAGCCTTGATGGATGAGAACAGCATTAACAAACAAGAGAAGTCTGAGAACTCTTCTTGCTCTCAATAAACAAAACTAGACCATTTCAAACCATGGAACAGTAATCTGGTCTGAATCTGGATTAAACGAAGACAAATCTGCTTCAGCTGCTGGAGTAATATCTAGTCTCACTCGTTCCGCAGCATTGTCCCTTCTAGAAGTTTCCCTAAAATGGCCTCATAAGTTTTTTTTCTTCTAAAGAATGTGCCACACTGTTGTTTTTAGGTTTGCCAAAGGCATTTGACACGGTTTACCACTCTGTTTTGTCTCAGAGTTTGACTGACATTGTAATATTTTAAAGTCAGGACACAGAAAGCTCTGATAGGGTTGGGAATGGAAAACTGGTTCCCATTGTTTCAATTCCTAGGAGTCTTTCGCCACGTTGGCAAACGATTCCCCTTGTCAATTCCAGTCGACGCAAATGACGTCACCGCGCACGTTGCGTAGTTTACGGAAGCAGGAAAATCAATTCCCACCTCAAGTTCTGCTACCCCTCCCACTGTCCAAATGGGTGTGACCCCACGAGGAAAGTTGACCATTGAGCAGGGTGGATGGTTTATGCCTTGGGTCCATGTGGCAGGGGTGAGGTGGTGCTCTCCCCTGCCACCTGTAGTGGTGCAACACTGTAACTGCAGTTAAAATAACATGCATATAGCTGGGGGCAGAGTGAAATCATGCTGGGGCGGCACAAAAATAGCTGGAGGCGGCCGCCACGCAAATTAGAACGCAGGAAAAACCCCGCAAATGTAAATATCCTCTGCGGTGAACAATAACATTTGTGTTAATTGTTGATCTAAATTACTAAATGTGTTTATTTTGTGTTGAGCATTTGTTTACCTTTCAGTTTTTTTAACCAGAAATTGAGCATGCGTTAGTCCTTTTATCGTGGTAAAGTTTGCACTAAACTACTTACATTTTGGTCATTATTGCTTCAAATAACAAACAAAAATAAGATCATAAAGGGCTACACAAATAATTTAGCAGATGGGTGGCTCGGGGTTGGGATTATTATTAATATTGTTATTAAAGTATCACATGAAACAAAATCAATAAGGCTCCAAAATTAAACCTAAATAATCAGCTGAGATTAATTAATATCAGCTGGAAACCATGAGCTATATGAAGCCGATAATTTACGTATCCAGTTAATCATAACTTGTCCTTTCACTGTCCGTCTGTGAAGATGTCAGGATTCCCACAATCCAAACTGCTCTAGAAAATAAATCCAACATCCTTAAATTGCTGGAGGCTTTAATTCTCGATGAAAGCTGAATCCAGTGAAGAAAAACTGAGTCCCCAACTGAACAAACAGCAGAAAAAAATATACTCCTCTTTGCTGATTTGTTGGCAGCAGTTTGTCCTGAAACTTGTTGACAGCATCGAGTTGCAGCTGCAGGGTTTAAAACTCAGTGGGAACTCTGGTTTAGACCTATTCTGACTTTTGTCACGGACGTCACACACTGAGGAGGTCGTCGGAAAGACGAAGGACGTCGTCTTCTCCTCGTCACGCACAGCCTCAGCCCCTCAGTGTTTGTGTTACAGATAATAACACTGACTGTGTTTGTTACAAAAGACAGAGAGCATGTGCTGTTTGTTTGGACAGATTAGTGTGTGTGTGTGTGTGTGTGTGTGTGTGTGTGTGTGCGTGCGTGCGTGCGTGCGTGCGTGCGTGTGTGTGTGTGTGTGCGCGCGTGTGTGTGTGTGCGTAAGCCTGAGGTGAATGGTCGACAGTGACTGCTTCACACTGTTTTCTTAGATGTTTCTGGATGTTCTGACTCAGTTTGGACTCGGCCACACACACACTCTAGAAAAAGTCCTGATTAGTAATGCAGTTTGACGTCCAAAATCATTTTTATTTAGAGATTAAAATTAACTAATTGCTGTCTTTCGTGCACAGAATACAAACCAAGGATTAGAGCAGGATAACATAGGCACAAAGTCCAGAGCCAAAAACTAAAGAATCTGAAATTCATGACAATTTCAATGTTTCACATCCTTTTCCTGCCAATTATATCCTCCTGAGACAGGAACTTTTTTTTACATTTCCCCTAATTATTAGTTATTAGTGCTCCCTCATGGACAAGAGAACAAGCAGTGATGTTGAATACTTAGTTCAAAATTAAAAATATCCATCCATCCATTTTCATCCGCTCATCCAGTCGGGTCGCAGGGGCAGTAGCCTAAGGCGAGAGGCCCAGACTTCCCAATCCCCAGCCACTTGGGCCAGCTCTTCCGGGGGAATCCCAAGGCGTTCCCTGGCCAGGTGAGAGACATAGTCCCTTCACTGGGTCCTGGGTCTACCTTTAGGTCTCCTCCCGGTTGGACGTGCCCGGAAAACCTCACCAGGGAGGCGTCCAGGAGGCATCCTAATCAGATGCCCGAGCCACTCAACTGACTCCTCTCGATGTGGAGGAGCAGTGAATCTACTCCGAGCCCCTCCCGGATGACCGAGCTTCTCACCCTATCTTTAAGGGAGAGCCCAGCCACTCTGCGGAGAAAACTCATTTCAGCTGCTTGTATCCGTCATCTCGTTCTTTCGGTCACTACCCAAAGCTCATGACCATAGGTGAGGGTAGGAAAGTAGATCGACTGGCAAATCGAGAGCTTTGCTTTCTGACTCAGCTCTCTCTTCACCATGACAGATCAATACAACGCCTGCATCACTGCAGATACAGCACCAATCCGCCTGTTGATCTCACGCTCCAGTTTTCCCTCATTCATGAACAAAACCCCGAGATACTTAAACTCCTCCACTTGAGGCAGGACCTCATCCCTGACCAGGAGAAGGCATTCTACCCTTTTCCGAATCAAGACCATGGTCTCAGATTTAGAGGAGCTAATTCTCAACCACTCAGCTGCGAACCACTCCAGTGAGAGCCGTAGAACACGGGTGGTATTAGAGGGTGGGGATTATGGCGGTCTGATCCTCGGCTACAGAAGCTGACTCTTGACATGTGGAATGTCACCTCTCTGGTGGGGAAGGAGCCTGAGTTGGTGTGTGAGGTTGAGAGGTTCCGACTAGCTATAGTCAGACTCACCTCAGTGCATGGCTCTGACTCCGGAACCAGTTTCCTTGAGAGGGGTTGGACTTTCTACCACTCTGGAGTTGCTCCCACTGAGAGGCGCCGAGCAGGGGTGGGCATTCCAGTTGCCCCCGATCCGGTTGACAGTGGCACAGGAGTTAAGTACTTGCCCCATAATCTTAAGGTTGCAGGTTTGAGCCCTGCTCAGTTTGTTGCTGTTGTTGTGTCCTTGGGCAAGACACTTAACCCACCTTGCTTGCTGATGGTGGTCAGAGGGACCGGTGGTGCCAGTGCTCGACAGCCTCGCCTCTGTCAGTGCGCCCCAGGGCAGCTGTGGCTACATCGTAGCTCATCCCCCCCCAGCGTGTGTGTGTGTGTGTGTGTGCGAATGTGTGAATGACTTATTGTGTTGTAAAGCGCCTTGGGTGGTTCCAGGACTCTAGATGGCGCTACATCAAATACAGGCCATTTACCATTACCCATCTTGGTGCCTGTACATTCGGGTTTACTCCGGTAAATGAGAGGGTAGCCTCCCTCCGCCTATGTGTGGGGGGGACTGGTCCTGACTGTGGTTTGTGCTTATGCACCAAACTACAGTTCAGACTTTTGGAGACCTTGGAGGGGGTGCTGGAGAGCGCTCCTTTGGTGACTCCCTCGTTCAGCTGGGATATTTGAACGCTCACGTGGGCAACGACAGTGAGACCTGGAGAGGTGTGGTTGGGAGGAACGGCCCCCCTGATCTGAATTCGAGTGTTTTGTTATTGGACTTCTGTGCCAGTCATGGATTGTCCATAATGAACACAATGTTCAGACATAAAGGTGTCCATATGTGCTCTTAGCACCAGGATACCTTAGGCCGCAGCTCAATGATCGACTTTGTCGAAGATTCATCTGACCTGCAGCCGCATGTCTTGCACACTCGGGTGAAGAGAGGGGCGGAGCTGTCAACTGACCACTACCTGGTGGTGAGTTGGCTTTGATGGTGGGGGAGGATAAAGTCAGACCTGGCAGGCCCAAACATATCACGAGGGTCTGCTGGGAACGTCTGGCCAACAGTCCTGTCAGAAGGAGCTTCAATTCCCACCTCCGACAGAACTTCCAAAATATTCCGGGGGAGGCGGGGAACATAACAAGGGAATCACACTTCTGAGCATCCTTAGTAAGGTCTACTCAGTGGTTCTGGAGAGGAAGGATTGTCGAACCTCGCATTCAGGAGGAGCAATGTGGTTTTTGTCCTGGCCGTGGAACACTGGACCAACTCTATACACTTAAGGGGGTCCTGGAGGGATCGTGGTAGTTCACCCAACCAATCTACATGTGTTTTGTGGAATTGGAGAAGGCATTCGGCCACGTCCCTCGAGGGACCCTTTGGGGGTACTCCGGGAGTATGGGGTACCAGGCCCTCTGATTCAAGCTGTTAGTCCCTGTGTGATTGGTGTCAGAGCTTGGTCTGCATTGGCGGCAGTAAGTTGGGCTCATATCCGGTGAGAGTTGGACTCTGCCAAGGCTGCCCTTTGTCACTGATTCTGTTCAAAACTTTTATGGACAGGATTTCTTGCAGCCAACGTGTTGAGGGGATCCGTTTTGGTGGCCTCAGGATCAGGTCTCTGCTTTTTGCAGATGATGTGGTCCTGTTGGTTTCATCAGAATGTGATCTTCAGCTTTCGCTGGAGCGGTTCGTAGCCGAGTGTGAATTAAAAATATGTAAGTTGAAAATATTTCTTCATATAAGTAATAAAAAATGCACAAATTACACATTTTTCCTTTATCGGAACATACGGGTATATGCAGCGAGGGAGGAATTGACCGGGAGATCCAAAGGCCCATTCCTCTTAGCTGTTGTGTGTCCATATACAGATAGCCCCTGTAAGGAATTAGATAAGACGTCTGCACATTGCGACCGTTGCGTAGCATGTTACGCCACACGTTTTCGACATCCTCAATGGACAGCTGGGAGAGGCATATGATCTTCCATTCCCTCCAGGAATCCAGCATATACCCCATCGGGTGTGTCCCCTGTGGGCATGTGGGAGCCCCCTGCTCTGTTCTCATTGTTGAAAAAAATCTTATCAATCACATTGAATGACCAATTTATCAAATCCATGGTTAAAAATAGGGTTTTTCAGAAGAAATGCAGAGAAGCGCTCTGTGGGCAGACAGGACAAAGAGCCTTGGGAAAAAAAGATAAGGGAGCGAAAAGAGAAGCGTCTGTACTCCGCGAGTGCCAGGAAGAAAAAAAGTTGTACTGCAAATTAGCTGAAACATATTTTCCTAAACCATTTTCTAATGGGAGCCAAATGGTTTTGAAGGCCTTTTGGGTAAATCTGAGTATCGTCAGCAAAGAAACGACCACATTCTTATTTGAATGTCTGTGTAATATAGAGCAGAAATCAAATTAAATACATAAATACTGTAATCTAGTTTCTGTACTTCTATAAAAGTGAATCCCTCCATAACTTAATCCTGTTTTAGGTTTAATCTGGATCCAGAGAGGACGTGCACTGATGACCGCCTGTGGGAGGCGCTAGAGATCGCACAACTGAAGAACATGGTGAAAGCTCTTCCTGGAGGACTCGGTACAAGAAAAAAAAACTCTTTTAAAGATGAAGTGAGTTTAGTTTAGATGGGAACGTCTGGTTTGAATTAATGTTTGTCTTTAGATGCAATGGTGACGGAAGGTGGAGAGAACTTTAGCGTTGGACAGCGGCAGCTCTTCTGTTTGGCCAGAGCCTTCGTTAGGAAGAGCAGCATCCTCATCATGGACGAAGCCACAGCATCTATAGACATGGCCACGGTGGGTGTGGCTATCTTTGTTTGGTTTTCCTTTTAACCCTTTTCACCTTTTTACCTGTATTGTTTTTCACATTTACAATTTTTTATATGCAGATGATGCTCGTTCAATTGGAAATAAATCTCATTCAATGAGCGATCTCTTTTCAAGGGAAAATCTGGATATTTAGTGTCTTGGCGACTTGGCAGAGAGAGAAAGTGTTTATTTATTTATTTTTTTATTAGAACATTTATTCTATTTTCATGGCAATGTAAAAATGAAAAAAAAAAACAACAACAACAAAAAATGCCACAACAATTGAACATAATAATACTTTCCATGACAATAGAGCAGGAGTGAGATGAAGAAAAAATCTTTTGATCTCCCACGCCTTCCTACTTCAGTATTGCTGCAAACTTAGCAGACTGGCCAACGCCCGAATAAAACACAATTACTCTTCAAACCTCAACAGCGTTACCGATGTTAGTATCAACTGTACATTTTTCCTTTCCATGTAAGAATATTTAACAATTTTCATTCTTTTTTATACAACTTGAGTACCTTCTGCTTGTACTTATACTTCAATTCAAAATAGTTTGAACAACATTTTAAATTATTTTCTAACAAGTTCCTCTGTATTACACCAGTAACAGACACACATGTGTTTGAGGGTAGTTCCAGTGAAGGGTTGTTTAAAATCATTTTCCCTCCTGCTTGTCTCACTGTTTGTGTTAAAAAGGCTTTGAAGTCCATGTGGTAACAGATTGTGTTTTGCTCTATAAACAACTAATAAAGTTTGTAAAGAAACCAAGTCCTTCAATTTGAGCAGTCCTGACTTCAGAACCAGTCCTAAGGTATGTTCTCTTGGAGCAACTCCATTAATTATTCTTATGGCCCTCTTTTGTAAAATAAACAAAGGCATTAAATTGGTAATAAAAGCATTTCCCAATACCTCTAACCCAGGGGTGTCAAACTCAAACTCACACGGGGCCGAAATGAAACTCTGGGACGGAGTCGAGGGCCAAACTTAATATTTTTTGAAAAAGTGACGACAAATTTGCACATTTTCTTTATCAACATATATGCAATTTTGAACCTTTAAATTTGGAAACAAACTTATTTCTGCATTAACACTGAATGTGGAATAACCAAATTACACACGAGCAAGTCAGTTTTAAATAAAAGGCATCAGTGGTATTCATTACTTGTGGTATATTCAGCATTTTTAAAATTATTCAGGATTTATGTTTTCTTGTTTATTTATTTTTCTTATTTTTTATTCTCTTTTTTTTCTCCTGTAATAAGTGTCATCGCTGCTGTGACGTCTAGCTTTCCCCACTGAGGAACAATAAAGGGATTTTCTATTCTATTCATCTATCTGCAGCCTTTCCACTTCCTGTTTACTGCAGGTTAAATCTTTTCTCACGGGCCAACAACAAAATAAAAATATCATTTTATCTTAAATGAAAATGCAACATCTCACCTGTTAACTTTCATGTTTTGGAGCAGAAAAAGAGCATAAAACCAGCATATTTAAAGCTCAGTTTGCTCCACTGGTTTACTGTGATGCTCACCTGTTCCTGCCAAATACCTGCATCATGGGGTTGATCTGAGCTGAGGAGGAGACTCCTGTTGTTTTGTTCATCTTCATCATAATAACGACAACATTAGATGACAACAGGTGCTCATATAGGTTTGTGCTGCTGAACATGTCTGAGCAGCTTGACCACGTTGTTGTGTGTCGGGGAGGAAACACAACCACAGAGCCGTGCTGGTTTGAGCGTGTCGCTGCTCGCTGGAGTTATATCAGCTCTGTCTGGAAGTTAGTTTGAAAACTTTCTCTTTAAGTCGTGAACACATTACTGAGCGGCTAGAATCTCCGTTTCTGGGCTTCGACGTCAGAAAACAGCTGAGTGAACTCGGCGCTGAGTGAGAGGAGTGTAGTTTGTCCGAGACAGCGGAGCTGCAGGCACCCAACTACCTCTGACTGCCTCGGCGCTGAAAAAACACAAAGGAGGGGGCGCGTCTGCTCCGCGCTGGCGCCGCAAAGCATCATGGGAGTTGTAGACATTGCGGTAAAATTGGCCAGCGGGCCAGTTTTAATATATTTTTGATATTTATCTCACGGGCCACATAAAAATGCTCCGCGGGCCGCATCTGGCCCGCGGGCCTTGACTCTGGCATATGTGCTCTAACCCATACATCAAATATGGCAAAATAAAAGAGCAGTATAAAATTCTCATGGCTTAGTATTTTAACATTGACCATACTTCACTCAGAACAATAATGTTTTTACACATTTTATTTCTGACATATGCTATATGTGGTTTCCATTTAAAATGATCATCAATGATTACTCCCAGAAACCTAAATTATGTCACTCTCTCAATGCTTGATCCATTTAAAGTCAGATTTACATTTTCAAGATATTTTCGATGACTAAACAACATAAATTTAGTTTTACTTAAATTTAATGACAATTTATTTTTATTAAACCATTTCTGAAGTAGAAATAAAATAGAAATTAAATCGTTTCTATCCAACTTGCTGCTCTGTCATCGGGAAGCCCCGCCCCTGTCGCCGCGGTGGTGGCGTTGCCCTTGTGCATAAAAATGCTTATAAATGTGATCCAGTCCCAAGAATTTTCTACCGTTGAATCGTTGATGGTTAAAGAGGGTTCTTGATCTCTTTCTATTGCGTGGTGATTTCCCATCCTCCTGGCCCTGCTGCTGACTTCTTAAAGGATTTGGTGCGTTCCTGTCCTCTATTATAAAACTAGAAACCTTGGGGATTTTAATCTTCATGTTCATGCTCATCTTGTCCTGCAATGGAACTTTTATCATTGACTGAAGCTTTTAATTTCGAGCAGCTTGTTTCTGAACCTACCCACCAGAAAGGCCATATGTTAGATTTGTTCTTTATGCTGGGCCTGGACACTTTAAATATGTCTGTAAATAATATCCATTTGAGTGATCATAGTCTTGTCTCATTTGATCTTCACTTCAGTCCTTTACCCAAGCCTCTAGAAGTAAGGTCCCTGAGACGTCTTGAAAACACTGCAGAGTTTTTCTGATATGTTTGATCCTCTTTTATTTGTGGATTGTCTTGTTGTGGATGTTTTCATGCACTGTTTTAACAACCACTTTGTAGAAATTCTTGGCTACCTGTTAAACCTAACTTGTCTAAACAAAGGAGCTCATGCCCTTGCATAAATGAAGACATCCTTAAGCTTGGTTTATGCTTGATGCATTTTCTTTCCGCTTGGTGATGCGGCTCGCGGATGGGACGCGCTTCACAACTTGCAACGTTTACGGTTCATGCGGCTTGTCTCTGCGGTGAGCCAATATTCTCCCAAACTGTAGGGGGCAGCATGGAGCTCTACGGCATGCATCCAACACTACACCATAGTAGAAGTAAAAATTACTGTTATTTACAACATGGCACTCCAGCATTTTTTAACAGCGTCCTTATCTTTTCCAACAGTGCGAGCTATTTTGCTCCAAGAGTTATTAACAACATGTTGATCACGGTGATCTCTGAGATGTCTGTATTTACGAACCTCTGCCATACTAGTTCTTGCCAGTCCGCCATGTTTTTCCGCGTCCGACTGTCCGCGTGGTTAGAAAATTTCCTAGGTGCGCGGTGCGGAAAGTTTGGGCCGTGTGGAGGAGCGTGGTTTGTTAAAATGACGCAATTTGGCCGCGCGGAGCCGTGCGAACCTCGCGAACGCGTCAAGCATAAACCAAGCTTAAGTCAAAAAAGGCTATGTCAAAAGATTGAACGCTTGCGGAAATCGTCCAAATTAGAGGTGCATAGGCTCTACCTCAGGGATCTTGTGTCGTCATACAACATGATGGTTGATAATGCCAGGTCTAATTATATTTGTCAACTGGTAACCTCGTCTAAGAAAAATCCCAAAGTGTTATTTGACACAATAAATTCCCTTGTATGTCCTGCCCCTCCAGTTACCAGTTTTCTGGGAAGCAGATAGCAATGCCTTTTAGAGATTTTTCACAAACAAAATCAAGCTGATTAAAGATCGCATTCTGCCCTCTCGGGGGGTACTCCTACAGTCTCTGAGTCCTCCCCTAGCATGTGGTGCTCATTTAAGAATGTGACGCTCGTTGACACTTCAGCACTGGTGGTCAAGATGAAGCCTTCCTGTTGTTTATTAGACGCCATTCCTTGTAGGCTCCTCGGCAAAGTATTTGATTTGCATTACCAAAATAGTCAACCTCTCCCTAACAACTAGTGTGCTTCCCAGTGTGCTTAAACATGCCATCGTGGAGCCATTACTGAAGAAAGCAGGCTTAGACCCAACTGACCTCAGCCACTATAGGCCCACTTCCAAGCTTCCGTTTCTTTTTATGATTCTTGAGAAGGTGTTGTATGAACAGCTGTCTACTTTTCTGAACCAAATAACATCCTTGAGCTGTTTCAGTCTGGTTTCCACAAACACCATTCTACAGAAACAGCTTTACTGAAGGAGTCCAGTGACATTATGATGGCAGCTGATTCTGGAAAACGCACTGTTCTAGTTTTGTTGGACCTCTCTTCAGCCTTCGATACTGTTGATCATCAAGTTCTGTTGATGAGACTGAGGGATCAAATAGGACTATCAGGGACAGTTCTTCAGTGGTTCTCCTCTTATTTATCAGAACATAGCTTCAGTGTTACAGCAAACCAAATAAGGTCTGAATCTGCAGATTTGTAGAGTGGAGTCCCCCAAGGCTCTGTCCTGGGTCCAGTTCTTTTCTTGCTGTGTTTGACCCTTTTGGGTAAGATCATTCAAAGGTTTAGTGACATTTCTTTCCACCCGTTTACTGATAACATTCAGCTAAATAGCTCTTTTAGGCAGTCTAAGCTGAACAAGTTAGATTATTTGCTTCAATGTTTAGTGGAGATAAAGAAATGGCTTAGCTCCATTGTCTACAATTAGTGTGGAACTCCGCAGTGAGAATCCTGACGCACACTAATAGGTCTCACATATCCCCCATCCTAAAGGAACTTCACGGGCTGCCTGTCTCTTTTAGGTTTAGGTTTTCAGAGCTCTGCATGGACAGGCTCTCTCTTACATTAGAGATCAGATCCAACCCACACCCCTGCACGAGCTCTGAGGTGTAGAGGGATCTTAACTTCCTAAAAGTTCCTCGCACTCCTTTTCGCACTAGAGGCGACTGTTCTTTGAAGCTGTAGCTCCAAGGCTCTGGAAGGATCTACCCTCGCTCTGCGTTTAATTGACCCTGTCGGCAAGTTCAAGAGCAAACTTAAGACTCATTTATTTGTTCAGGCATTCGTCTAGTTTATTTATTTATTTGTGTGTGAGCTGTATTGTTTTTTGTGCAGTCTTGGCCCTTTATGATGTTCATTGTTTTTATCCCACTTATCTGTTGTTTAATCCCTTAGCATTCCAGCGTCCCGCCTGGAAATTTAAGGGGTTAAATGTTTTACAATGTTGTGAAGCACCTTGTGGCTCATGCCTGCGAAAGGTGCTATTCAAATAAAGCTTTCTTATTTACTTACTTACCTTACCTGAATTTTGCACCTGGCTTATTTTCTGTTATGGATTTTTTTCCTGCAGGAAAACATCTTACAGAAGGTCGTGATGACGGCATTCTCAGACAGAACTGTTGTAACAATCGCAGTAAGTCTTTTGTTATGTTTTTGTGTTTTCATAAATGGTGATGTGTGGTTTTAAAGGAGACATATTATTTTTCTTTAAACAAGTTATAGTAGTTCTGATGTCAATACCAAACATGTTCATGAAGTTCTTTGCTCTAATTCCCTCTCACATAAAGCGATCTTGACAGTTGAGCCGTTTCAGGTCTCTGTCACTTTAAGAAAAGAAGCTGTTGCTGGCCACGCCCACCCATCCCCTGATTGGCTACTATGAGGTGAAGAGCTCAGATATCAGGGAGGGTCTTGGAGTAGAGCCGCTGCTCCTCCAGCATCTGCGTTCTGTGCTTATTCTACCTGTTGTGATGTCACAAATGGGTTTTTTCAAACAGCTCCAAGAGCCACTGATTCCTAAAACCTGACAGAAAACAGTCAGACAGGTTTAATTCACGTTTGCAGAAGCAGTAGAGACCCGCAGGGCAGCAAAAGGTGAGTTTTCCATAATATGTCCCCTTTAGCACCCTAGAAACCATCCGCGTGTAACAATACAAATTTCAGTTTTCCTTCTTCACACTGATTTTCTTTTCTTTCAATTAGTTTCTAACAAGGATTATTTGAAGTTATTGTAAAATCGTATTTGCCCTTTTTTCACCTATCTGCTCTCCCTTTTCTGATTTCTGCCTCTCTGTGATTGTGTCTTGTCTCGTTTTTGTCAACCAACTCATTCTTACTATCTAAACTTGCTTCTGCTATAATTTCTCTTTCCATTTCCCTCTCTCTCTCCATCCCCTGATGCCCGCTCTTCTCGTTCTTCTGTCCACCTTCTTGTTTGTGTCTTTGTCTTGCCGTCAGCACCTTGTGTCCTCTATCTTGGAGGCGGAGCAGGTGTTGGTCTTCTCCTCAGGGATCTTGGTGGAAAGTGACTCAGGTCCCAACCTTCTAGCTCAGGAGGAGAGCCTCTTCAGTGCGTTAGTGAGGACTCACAAGTAGACCTGGATCAGCTCAGACCTGACTCTGTCCGTCCTTCATTTCTGTCCTCTTGTTTCAACCCCCTACCCGGCCGAGTCAGAGCTGGAGTCTGAGTCTGGGTCTGCTACAGCCTTACTGCCACTGGCTGCCTGGTTGGTACCAAATAACCTGCTGCATGCTCTTTATAGACTCTGGTTTTAGCCCATAGTGATTATAATATTAGCTGTACAAGCGTTACTAAGAGCCAGACTGGGTCGGTTACCATGGAGACCAGCCTACAATTGATGGTGGCTGTGATGCTGCTTTTCTTTCATATGCTGTAAAACTAACACCAAGTGTACTGTGATTTTTTCTCCTTAACTTTTATTCTTCATAATTTTCATGTTAATCCAGCTAAAACAGCTGATAACGAAAACAGGTCAGAAACTCACCTGATGTTAAAAGGACTTCAAGCCAAAATCATTCAAATGTCTTTATTTCCATGCCACAGTGAAAAGGGTCCTTTATTCGCTTTGGCAGCATCATCAATTATACTAACACCGAAGTTTAAGTAATGACCTTTGACCTTGTGTTACACCTGAATATGAGCTGGGGATGAGTCGGGGCTACAAAGATGTTTGACTGTATTGTAGTTAAAAACTACAAATACTTTCAAAGACGACTTAAACAGCACTTTAAGTTCTGCTGCACTCCTGCTATCTGGTTGGTGCTCTACGTACCGCAGGCGGCAAATTTTATCCTTCCAGATCAATTCACAATACAATCATAACTATAGACACAGATGAGCTTCAGTCAAACCACTTGGAAATGCTAAATAATGTCCAACTCAAGTATTTTTACTTTCACAAGCGTCCAATTAATGTCCTCCAATAAAAGAGTTTGTCCACAAGTCTTACGCCCACAATCCAACGTAACGTACCACAGAAATGTCCTTCAGATGTCTCTTCCTTACGAAGGTTTGACCATAACTTCAGTTAGCATTCTCATTTTAGCTGAGGCTAAACCTTCAACTCTAGGTCATGGTTTCCACCCCCTATTCTCACCTGTGTAGATCAAACCAGGTGCGGGGCGGTATGTTGTTGATTGATGCATCAAATACTCGTTAAAATTAGGAAAACAAAAAATCTCTCCGAAGGGCTTGAGTTTTGTGATAAAACCAAACCCTTTGTGGTCTGCTTCCTCAAACGGATGAAGAACGATTGTGATTGGCAGATGGCTACCTGTTCGCTTTCCTTTGACATCACAGCAGGTAACGTCATCGTGATGTCCGCGCTTAAATGTAATATTCTGCAGCTCTAGTTGTTGTAGTCCATTTATGTGAGTCCATAAGTTGAGTAGCTGTGGCGGCCATGTTGAGTTGGCTGCCTCTAAAAGTGAATCAGTTGTAGACGTCCACTAATGTCCTGTTTTACTGCTGAGCGGAGCCACAGACAGGCAAAAACATTATCCTCTGCCTCCTGGGTGTTAGACAGGAGACCCGTCTTTGGCAGTAGCGGTCGAGTTGACGTGCTTTTGTGTTGTGTGTCTCCAGCACCGTGTCCACACCATCCTAACAGCTGATCTGGTCATAGTGATGAAGAGAGGCGTCATCCTGGAGTCCGGAACGCCGGATGCTCTGTTGGAGCAGGAGGACGGGATGTTTGCTTCCTTCGTCAGAGCCGACATGTAAACCCACCGTCACCATCAGGCAGGACGCTCGCCAGCGTTTTACTGGGATCACTCTGATTTGTTTAGTGTGAGGACAGCTGGGTCAGAGGCGATGACGCAGCTCTTTATAAAGAGTGAACGTTTTAATTTTATGTTAACTGTTTTTTCCCCCTCATTTGCATTTTGACACCGCAGGAAAAACAAAAATTCATCCTCAAAAAACTCATTTTTGCAGCTTGAATTCAGACAGAAACTCAAAGTCACCAAAAACTCAAAAAAACGTAAAAATGAAGTATTTTTACCACCAAACGTCAGATAACGCCAGTCAAAACCCCCTGGAACAATGCATACGGACGCTTTAAAACGTTTTCACGTACGTTGCTCTTTATTAATCTGTTTTTATGTTAGGAATCAGTTATTACTGGATTTTTAGTTGGGGTAGATTAAAACATGGAGTCCAGTTTTAAAGAAACCAGCTGACATTCATCTTGGATCGCTGGTATGTTTAGTTTGAATGAATTTACTAAAACTTTAGAGTTGAGTCTGAACGTTCTGGCCCTTTGCGTATCGGCATTTCAAACTTCAGCTGGTTTTACAGAAACCTGTTGGGTTAAACGATGAACATTTCAATAAATGGTAAATTGGTAAATGGTCTGTATTTGTTATAGCGCCTTCTAGAGTCAAGGAACCCCTAAAGGCTGTTTAAAACACAACCAGTCATTCACCCATTCACACACACATTCACACACTGGTGGGGATGAGCTACGATGTAGCCACAGCTGCTCTGGGGCGCGCTGACAGAGGCGAGACTGCCGAGCACTGGCGCCACCGGTCCCTCCGACCACCACCAGCAGGAAAGGGGTGTTAAGTGTCTTGCCCAAGGACACAGCGACAGACTGAGTGGGGCTCGAACCTGCAACCTTCTGATTACGGGGCGAGCACTTAACTCCCCTGCCTCCGTCACCCCAATCAATGATGATTTCCATTTATTGAGGGAACAAATGTCTCCGCCAGCCTGATCGGTCATCTCTCGCATCACAGGGGTCAAAGGTTAGACATTCTCCTTCAGGATGATCTGCTAGAGTTCATGGTTCCATCAGTTGAAACAGGTGATCCAGGTTCTGAAGCAGCAGCGCAGCACCAGACCATCTCACCTCCACCACCATGCTTTAGTGTTAATCCATCCAGATGGAATGGGACATACTCCTTCCAAAACGTTCCACGGAATATTTACCCGGGAGTTCTTGGGATCATCGGGATGTTTTTATTAAATATAAGACAGGTCTTTGTTGAATCCTGATCTCTGACCTTAACCTGAACCAGGTGAGGCCTGCCTGGAACGGAGCAGGGTGTGTTACTTTTTGAGATCTTTGAGCCTACTTCCTGTCGTCAGACAAGTTCTGTTGATCCGGTCTGGCTATAGCTGGTTAAACGGGTTAATCACAGTTGATTCCTCTTTTTAAGAGGGGGCTGGTGATATTTTCACCCAGGACAGGCTGGTGTGAGAGATTTGTTTCTCTTTAATAAACTAAATCATCTTTTTTAGAACTTTTTCGTATTTACTGAGGTTATCTTGATCTGAAACATTTAGGTGAGTAAACAAAGCCTTTGTGTTTGTGGCCGTCGAGGACCAGGGTCACTGGTCTTCAGGAGGTCCTACCCCACACGACTCTATGGCATCGAACCTTTTTCAGTCGGATTCTGCAGAAACGTAACTGTTCTGTTTAGAGTTAAACTCTTTGGTTTCTCACGGCTGGAAAATAAAACACGTTTTCTCTGTGATCTACAGAATTTAGACAAATTTGACAACAGAATCAAATCTGAACGGATAAAACAAACCTGCCCCAAAAGTCTGCATTATCTCCATAATGCAAACAGTCTCAAACAAATTCACCATTTTATCTTTTTTTTTAATTACAACTGAATTTTCCAGCAGTTTTTTTTATCCATCCATCCGTCCATTTTCATCCGCTTATCCAGAGTCGGGTCGCGGGGGCAGTAGCCTAAGGCGAGAGGCCCAGACTTCCCTCTCCCCAGCCACTTGGGCCAGCTCCTCCGGGGGAATCCCAAGGCGTTCCCTGGCCAGGTGAGAGACATAGTCCCTCCACCGTGTCCTGGGTCTACCTTTAGGTCTCCTCCCGGTTGGACGTGCCCGGAAAACCTCACCAGGGAGGCATCCAGAAGGCATCCTGACCAGATGCCCGAGCCACCTCAACTGGCTCCTCTTGATGTGGAGGAGCAGCGGGTCTACTCCGAGCCCCTCCCAGATGACCGAGCTTCTCACCCTATCTCTAAGGGAGAGCCCAGCCACTCTTCGGAGAAAACTCATTTCGGCCGCTTGTGTCCAAGATCTCGTTCTTTCGGTCACTACCCAAAGCTCATGACCAGAGGTGAGGGTAGGAACGTAGATCGACCGGTAAATCGAGAGCTTCACCTTCTGACTCAGCTCTCTCTTCCCCTTGACAGACCAGTACAACGCCCGCATCACTGCAGACACAGCACCAATCCGCCTATCAATCTCACGCTTCAGCTTTCCCTCCCTTTTTAACAAAACTCCGAGATACTTAAACTCCTCCACTTGGGGCAGGACCTCATCCCTGACCCGGAGAAGGCATTCTACCCTTTTCCGAATCAAGACCACGGTCTCAGATTTATCTTTTATATGATGTAAATAAATCAGGCTGGTGTGTATTTAGAGCTTTACCACGTCTCGCCACATCTAGCTACACTCACATTTCTCTAGCTTTTATACTTCTGGGTATTTTTAGACAATAATGGAATTATAGCCTTACAGATTCAATCTGCACAAATTACTGAGCCTCAGTTTGTGTTGAAGTCGAGCTTTTCTACTCGTAGATTTTTATAAAACTTTTATTAACCTTTTAGACAAACCACTACTCGTCTACTTATGCACATCTAAGATGCAGTTATAACGGAGAAAGTTTGAATGTGCTTGTTTCCACTTTTTTACCCAATTTGACCCGTAAAAATGTTTTGAAATGTCACCAAATCTGTGGGAGTCCCAACGCATTGGGAGACGACGCGTTGTGCCAGAGCGTTGGTTTCCGACGCCCGCGGTAAAACGCACATTTAACCAATTTTCATTTTTCGATGGGTGTGAGAATGTGTTGGAATTTGACAAGTTTAAAGGCGTTACCAAAATACCTCAGGCAATCACTCCTTCACCCAGATACTTAAAGAGGTTTAATGGTGTCATTTAAGATCTGAAATCAATCATTACAGGAAAAATACTCACGTTAACCCATCATTCATTCATGCAGAGCATTGGACACATTATTAAAACACTTTGGATTTAACCCTCCCACACTCTTTATGGGTGACCCCGTGAGGAAAGTTGACCATTGAGCAGGATTGATGGTTTATCCCTTGAGGTCCACGTGGCAGGGGTGAGGTGGAGCTCAATCCTCACCCCTGCCACATGGACCCAAGGGATAAACCATCAATCCTGCTCAATGGTCAACTTTCCTCGCGGAGTCACACCCATTAGTAGCCTGGCAAGCCAGACTAAATAAATGTGTTATATAGTCTGGCAACGCTCCATTGACGGCTCTCGGTTGTGGGGCGGGTTCTACCGTTGTCTTTCAAACAATCTCCGCATGCTACTGGACAATGAATGTGACATACGCACCGCAACAGCTATCGGTAAATGAGGCGGTCCGCAGTTTAAGAAGGAGAAAACACATCATTTTTTCTAAAAAAAAAAAAAAAGCACTAAAATACATCTATCTGCTCCTGATTCTAATGAAGCCCAGGTTCTAATAGTCCAACATGGATGTAAAAGCCATTTCAAACGAGCTGTCGCCATCTTGTTTCACTCTGTTGCATCATCCCACCCACCAGGCATATGGAGTGCCCTGATTGGCCCACAAAGCGGATAAAGCTGTGATTTGTTCACTAAGCAGATAGAGCACTATGATTGGCCCACCATTATGGACCAATCACAGCTCTTTATGTGTTCGAAACCCCTCTAGAGAGCTGTGATTGGCCAGCCAATTGCTGTTAGGGACTGCAGAGGTTCCAGTGGAGCGTTCCTAGACCAAACTTTGCAAAGCAAGAATTTGGTCTAGTTCACTAGACTAATCCATTAGGACAGTGGGAGGGTTAAACGTATTGTTCATTCACAAGATATGATTGTATAACACTGATGAAATTATAAAGTCATTCATGAGCCAAGGAAGATCATTTTTGTTCAGAGAGGGTAGATGAGAAGTCCTGCGTCTTTTGCAGCCTTGAGGACTCGTGACGTACCGCAGGATAAATCAAGAACATCGGCTCAACAGGTCAATCGGCACCCCGGTGTCAGAGTGACCCATATGAAGAAGTTTGGCCTGTATTGTAAGTTAAAAGTTGACTTCTGGTCATTTTGATGAAATACTTGGCACTTCGGTACGCTACGCAGTTCTCAGTTGTTTGGCAAAAATGTTTGAGACTTGTTGGAGACACAAAATCACAAGAAAAACGGATTTTCAGTTTGGCATCCATCAAAACTGCAAATGAATCATGATGACACTGGTGCTAATTATCTCATCAACATTCATTCAAAAAGTGTCTCAATTTGTTCTGATTTTATTTTCAGTTTGGTCTCAGGCTCCTCTTAAAGACCTGAGAAGCGTTTCAGACGTCTGTGATGGAGTTGAGATTCTTCAGGAGCATTTCGGGATGCTTGGGTAACTTCTCACAAATATCTCCGACAGTTGCAGCCTGGCGAGATTCAGACCCGTTTCTGTGTCGGATTGTTTATGTTTTATAGTTTTGTGGTCTACGCTCGCGGTACGAGTACTGTAAGGCGCCGCGGCCGGCGGACATGCTGTCTGCCATGCTTTGCTGAAACCGTTTTGATGCTAAAAGCTCCAATAACTGTGAGGTTTTGGTGATTTTCTGTTTCGTTGTTAAAGTTTATTCAAATTATGTTTGTTTGTAGTTTATTAAAAATGAACTCCAGTTGATTTTCTTCACCAAACGAACAAAAAAGCTCCAAATTCAGCAGAAAATTTTAATCATCTAGGTGTTGGCTTCTCTTTAATCGATATAAAGAATAAAACTGATCTCTCCAGCAGATTCTAGATAAAAACATATTTTAACTGTTGTCACAAATTATTTTCTCATTTGGATTTATGACAATTTTTAATCAGCTCCAAAATATTTTTGAAAAATAAAAAAGGAATCAAAAATTCTTCAGCTCCTCAAATGAGCAGAAATATTGAATTATAATCAGATGAATCCACCAGCAGATAATTTATTTAAACTTTATGTTTCTGAGTGCAGAAACTCCTGTTTTATCTGAATATTTAAGAAACATCTGAAAAGTTCTGATGATTTGAACATTTTTAGTCTTTGAAACTTTAGAAAACTATGAAACTAATATATCTTTTTTTTAATTCAGAGTAAAACTTTAAATTAGATTTTTATATTCATTATTGCCACAAATAAGTAAAAGAAAAATGTAAAAAAAAAAAATTCTTAGTCTTTTCTTTGATTTGGACACTAAAGGGTTGAAGTATTTTGTTTTCTGATTATTTTGTTTGCTTCCACGTCTGTTTTCTCGTGTTTTTGTGCCCAGAACTAAAATAGTTTTTAAATTTTCACTTAGCAACAATGCTAACATTTTGTCTTCTTTTCACCTCCTCAGTTTTCCGTTGTTCTCGTCCTGCTTTTCATGAATCTAGAATTATTTTGCACACCTTCAAAAACTTTTCTGATTCAGAAACAAATTTCTTCTGTCTTGTAAAGTTTCTGTTTCTCACAACAAGCTGTCTTAAAAGCACCTGCTGGTGTTCTTTGTGGCTCACGACGTGTCGAACTGAAACACCGTAGCATGTCGCTCCGAGTCACGCACATGTTTTCTCCTCTATGCAGAAAATATTATTTGTTCTTTTGAACTCACAGGACTGTTAGACTGACAACTTTTCACAGTTTTTATGCTTCTTTTTCTACATTTGAAGCTCGTGTACATTCTGTATGATGTAGGGTTTAAACGTGAGCAGAAATCTACTAACGTGTGTTTCTGTGATGTTTTTTTTTTACACGTGGAATGAAAATAAAACTGTTTTACCAGCAAAAAGCAGCATGATGTTGGATATGTTGCTAAATGGCGCCATCTGGTGGTGAATATTTATACAGCTAATAAAAAACTGGAAATCCGTCCAGGGTTTTATTTATGCATCATAAATAAACGTATCTCTGTCTGAAGAGACGGTCTTTAATCACTTTACATTTCTGTCTTCTTTAGCTGCAGGATTTTACAGAAGCTTGTACATAAACATGTTTCTGTGTAAATTTATTTAAATTATTTAAACAGGTTTCTGATTTGACTTTCAGACAAACATTAAGGATTTATTATCTAGTTATTAAAGATGCGTCAGGTAATTAGATTATTGCTTCTGTAAAATACGATGTATGCTTATGAAGCTGCCTTGCTTTGCCTACAAAGAGCAAGATCTATAAAAGAATAAAACAAATGATCATAACTAGAGTAGTTCATGAAACACCGCAAGAAAATGCCTACTAGTGATTAGAAATGCTTCAGATCTGAGAAAATAACTTTATTTATTAAGTGTCTCCTATAAGGCTGGTAAAGTACCACATAATAGTCTAATAAGTTGATTTTTGACTTATTTAAAGTTTCCAGTGGGTGAGAAAAACTTCTCAGAGATTTCTGGGGCGCACTTCTTCGGCTGTCCTGAACTCGGGACCCTGGACCCTGGAAGTCGGACGACGTCAACAAGACCGAGGAGTCCGACCCAGCCCTCAGAGGCGGCGCGCTGCGCTCATTCCGACGCCAAGCTGCTCGTTTGTGCGTCTTTACGCGCCTTTCCTTGCTGGCAGACATGCAGTTTCCGCGCGTAAAAGCGCACCGAGGACGAGTTTGGGGACCGTAGCGGATAGTTAAAATGTTGGCCAGAAAAAGCATCATCCCGGAGGAGTTCGGTCTGCCGGGTCTCGTGTCTCGAACGCCCCGAAAACCGGTGTTCAGGGACCGCGTGAACAAAGCGCGCTTCATCGCCAAAAACGGCTCGTGCAACTTGGCGCACAAGAACATTCGCGAGCAGGGCCGATTCCTGCAGGACGTGTTCACCACGCTAGTGGACCTGAAGTGGCGCTTCACGCTGGTCATCTTCACCACCACGTTCGTGAGCAGCTGGCTGCTGTTCGCCATGAGCTGGTGGCTGGTGGCGTTTGCGCACGGAGACCTGGACCCGGAGCGGCAGAACCTGAGCCACTGCGTCACCGACGTCAAGTAAGAGACGCAACTGTTAAAGTTACTCAACTTTATTGAGTTAAAGTCTGTTTGATTTGTTTTATTTTTCTTCTGACTGTTTTCTGTCCATTTACTCGATCCAACTTCCCACCCTCTTCCTCTCTATCCCTCTCTCTCTCTCTGCCTCCCTCTCTCTCGCGCGCGCGCTCCCTCTGTCTCTCTTTCTCTCTCTCTGCCTCTCTCTCCTCTGTCTCTCTCTCTCCCTATGTCTCTCTTTCTCTCTGCCTTTCCCTCGTCTCTCTCTCCTTCTCCCTCTCTCTCTCCCTCTCTCTCTGCCTCCCTCTCTCTCTCTCTGCCCCCCCTCTCTCTCTGCCTCCCTCTCTCGCGCGCGCGCGCTCCCTTTGTCTCTCTTTCTTTCTGCCTTTCCCTGCCTCTCTCTCTCTCCCTCTGTCTCTATTTCTCTCTGCCTCTCTCTCTGCCTCTCTCTCTCCCTCTCTCTTCCTCTCTCTCTCTCCTTCCTGATTTTGAGAAGGAAGATGAAGGAAAAGGCTAACGGGCATCAGCATTGCTTTACCATGCCTTAGTGTCGTCAGTTATTAATGGAGGTAAACTCAGGGTTTACACCTCAACAGTAAAACTAGCATGAGGGATTTCATTTAGAATTACTGAACCTCAGATGAACTCATAAACATCTAGTTATCAACTTTTCACATGATTTTAAACCATTACTTGATGAATTTATCTTTTTGTGCTTTTGACTTTGTAGTCGTTCTATTTGAGGTTTCTAAAAGCATTTTCTATCATCAGGTCAGATTTTATCTGATCAAAATATCATTTTTATTGTGAATGTTTTTGTCTGAGAGAACAAACCTGAAAGTGTCCAAGTAAGCTAGCCTGTCGGGTAGCCGAACTTTTTCTCATTAATTCATCAAAGATGTTAAAATCTGCAGTATCTCATGGCGGGTGATGATCTGTGTAGAGCACATACGTCAGACTCAAGGCCGGCGGGCCAGATGCGGCCCGCGGAGCATTTCTATGTGGCCCGCGAGATAAATATCAAAAATATATTAAAACTGGCCCGCTGGCCGATTTTACCGCAAATACTTCAACTCCCATGATGCTTTGTGGTGTCAGCGCGGAGCCGACGCGCCCCTTCCTTTGTGTTTTTTCCAGCCCGGTGTCAGCAGCTCCGCTGTCTCGGACAAGCTAAACACTCCTCTCACTCAGTGCCGAGTTCACTCAGCTGTTTTCTGACATTGAAACCCAGAAACGGAGATTCTAGCCGCTCAGTAATGTGTTCACGACTGAAAGAGAAAGTTTTCCAACTAACGTCCAGACAGAGCCGATATAACTCCAGCGAACAGCGACACGCTCAAACCAGCATGACTCTGTGGTTGCTGTTGCTTCCTCCCCGACACACAACAACGCGGTCAAGCTGCTCAGACATGTTCATCAGCACAAACCTATGTGAGCAGCTGTTGTCATCTAATGTTGTCGTTATTATGATGAAGATGAACAAAACAACAGGAGTCTCCTCCTCAGCTCAGATCAACCCCATGATGCAGGTATCTGGCTGGAACAGGTGAGCATCACAGTAAACCAGTGGAGCAAACTGAGCTTTAAATATGTTGGTTTTATGCTCTTTTTCTGCTCCAAAACATGAACGTTAACAGGTGAGGTGTTGCATTTTCATTTAAGATAAAATGATATTTTTATTTTGTTGTTGGCCCGTGAGAAAAGATTCTAAAGATTTAAAGATTTAAAAGATTTTAAAAATGCTGATTATACCACAAGTAATGAATACCACTGATGCCTTTTATTTAAAACTGACTTGCTCGTGTGTAATTTGGTTATTCCACATTCAGTGTTAATGCAGAAATAAGTTTGTTTCCAAATTTAAAGGTTCAAAATTGCATATATGTTGATAAAGAAAATGTGCAAATTTGCCGTCACTTTTTCAAAAAATATTAAGTTTGGCCCTCGACTCCGTCCCAGAGTTTCATTTCGGCCCCGTTTGAGTTTGACACCCCTGGTGTAGAGAAATCTGTGTGGTGGCCAACTTGAGTTGGGATGAATTCAGTAGTGATAACTTTCCAACAGTTTCATTACAATCTGCTGGTGCTTCATGAGATGTTTCACCAACAGACACAGACGGAAACACGGTGGCGGCAGTATCATGCTGTCTGATCCCTGACATGGCTCATGGAGTCATTTCAGACCGAAATGTTTCTTTGTTTCAGCAGAAAAACAATAAAAAGTTTTTATGTTTGTTCGTTTCTGAAAACGGTTCTTCCTCTCATCAGGTCGTTCACGTCAGCCTTCCTCTTCTCCATCGAGGTTCAGGTGACCATCGGCTTTGGGGGACGGATGATAACGGAGCAGTGCCTGGCGGCCATCATGGTCCTTATTTTGCAGAACATAGTTGGACTCATCATCAATGCAGTCATGCTGGGTACGGCGTCTTCCTGTAGTGATTCATTTTCTATCATGTTCTTCGTAAAATCGCTTCCATTGGTGGCTTTGGCTCCTCAGGTTGTATCTTTATGAAGACGGCCCAGTCCAATCGCCGAGCGGAGACGCTGATCTTCAGTCGTCACGCTGTGATCGCCGTGAGGAACAACTGCCTCTGCTTCATGATTCGTATCGGGGATCTGAGGAAGAGTATGATCATAGGAGCCACCGTCAGACTACAGGTGTCTGGACACTGGTTTAAACAAAATGACTCACCTCTATGCACTCTTATTTCTACGCCGTCACCTCTGGTCCAGCCTGCCTCTACTTTAGCATCAATAGTAGCTGCACCATTACATCCTTACACAAAAGCATCTTAGTTAGAAGGAAAATCCAATAATGTTGGGAGTAAAGAAAAAGTATCAAGGATAGAGCTCCTGATGCCGAATGCTCCTGGATTCAAACAGCATTTCCCCGAGTGCAGGCAGTTTGGGGGGTCCAGTGTATCCTCCCAAAAGTCTCCGACATGCTTTCCTGTTTAAATCAGTGACGTGGTAACGGACATTGTTCTGAGAAGAGCTGGCCTAACGTGTCAAACGCTTAGACACGCCTCCTTACATTTAAATGTCCCAACCCATGACTGTAGAAGTACTGGACCAACCCTCCGTGATGTCACCCACCACCGCCATCTTGGCTGTGTCACACGACTCGTCACTCCCAGATAATACAAAAATGGGCAGAGAGGTGGAGCTGAAAGCGGGCTGTGAAGATGTGGGCATGACGCCACAGGGGTATCAAACTCTGCGCCAATGCAGCTGCGAGCTAACCGAGCTGACCAAAGCTAACGTAGATTTGGTTGAGCGACTCTAACGTAAAGCACGCATCAACTCTCTGAGTTGTGGAGTTCCTGTGCTCTCCTTCAGAGAACTCCACAGGCGACCAGCAAGGCTGCAGCCTTTACAGCGACCAGAGGAAGACGGTACCGAGTCTCTGTAGCCAGCCCCATCAGCACGTCATATTCAGCCCATTTTTGACCAAGCAGTGTTATGTTAAAGGCACAGCAACAGAAATATGTTACCTTCCAAAAATCATAGCTGCTGGTCCGACTGTCACTGCCTGGCCTTTGGAAACCATCTTTAAAAAACATAATACATTCACAACTAACAGTTTAGTTGTATAAAACCCTACAGGTGCATGCAGTAATGAAGGGTGTATCTAAAGAAAAGAGGGGGGGGGGGGTCTCATAATGGGGTGGTCCTGCACTGCTACCCTGTGGAAAGACTAATTATGGCAAAAGTTAATGAAGTCCCATTATTTATCATCATACTGGTGAAATTAAAGCTCCAATTGACCCATCCCAGTGTGAAGTGGTGAGCTGCAGGCAGCTGTGGCTGCACTCGGGAAGTATTTGGTGGTTTTGCCTGTTTAACCGAGTAGCATTAGCTTTTGATGCTATTAGCAAACCCTTCTGGCTTTTAACAAAGCCACTTAGAAACATCTTTGTTCTGCTTTTATCAGTTTACACAAGCACAGAAACATGTTTCGGGACTAAATTAGAGGTTCAAATTAAAACAATCCCACCTGATTCAAAGATTTAAACATCAAATTGATTTTAATCTTAATTTCAAATTTTTACAAAAACAGAGATTGTTTCCTAACTAAGTGCTGTTTTTGGCACTATGATTATTCTGGGATTTAGATTTATTTTAACTTTCATAAAAAATATAATATTAATAATAATTATAATAACAATAATGATGATAATAATAATAATAATAATAATGAAATAATAAAAATGTCGTCGTCGTCTTCCTCCGCTTATCCGGGTCCGGGTCTTGGGGGCAGCATCCCAACTAGGGAGCTTCAGACCGTCCTCTCCCCGGCCACCTCCACCAGCTCCTCCGGCAGGACCCCAAGGCGTTCCCGGACCAGATTGGAGATGTAACCTCTCCAACGTGTCCTGGATCGACCCGGGGGCCTCCTGCCGGCAGGACATGCCCGAAACACCTCCCCAGGGAGGCGTCCAGGAGGCATCCTGACCAGATGCCCAAACCACCTCAACTGACTCCTTTCGATCCGGAGGAGCAGCGGTTCTACTCCGAGTCCCTCCCGAATGTCCGAGCTCCTCACCCTATCTCTAAGGCTGAGCCCGGCCACCCTACGGAGGAAACTCATTTCGGCCGCTTGTATCCGCGATCTCGTTCTTTCGGTCATTACCCAAAGCTCATGACCATAGGTGAGGATTGGGACGTAGATCGACCGGTAAATCGAGAGCCTGGCTTTCTGGCTCAGCTCCCTCTTCACCACGACAGATCGGCTCAGCGTCCGCATCACTGCAGACGCCGAACCAATCCGCCTGTCGATCTTCCGATCCCTCCTACCCTCACTCGTGAACAAGACCCCGAGATACTTAAACTCCTCCACTTGAGGTAGGACCTCTCTCCCGACCCGGAGTTGGCAAGCCACCCTTTTCCGGTCGAGAACCATGGTCTCAGATTTGGAGGTGCTGATCCTCATCCCAGCCACTTCACACTCGGCCGCGAACCTACCCAGCAAGAGCTGAAGGTCAGAGCTGGATGAAGCTAGGAGGACCACATCATCCGCAAAAAGCAGAGAGGAGATTCTCCTGCCACCAAACTCGACACACTCCACACCACGGCTGCGCCTAGAAATTCTGTCCATAAAGGTAATGAACAGAACCGGTGACAAAGGGCAGCCCTGGCGGAGTCCAACCCTCACCGGGAACAGGTCCGACTTACTACCGGCTATGCGGACCAAACTCACGCTCCTCTGGTAAAGGGACTGAATGGCCCTTAACAGAAAGCCACCCACCCCATACTCCTGGAGCGTCCCCCACAGGGTGCCCCTGGGGACACGGTCATAAGCCTTCTCCAAATCCACAAAACACGTGGATTGGTTGGGCAAACTCCCATGCCCCCTCCATCACCCTTGCAAGGGTACAGAGAATAAAAATGTTATTAATAATAATAATAATAATAACAACAATGATAATTAAAATTTTATTAATAATGATGATGATAATAATGATAATAATAATAATGAAATAATAATAATGATAATGATATAATAATAATATTAATATTATCATTATTATTATTATTAATAATAATAATAATAATAATCATTGTGGCAAACCAGATCCTGTGTGTCTGATACTTGCTTTAAATTACATCTGAATACATTTGGTTTGAAAAATTCTAAGTAAAATTAGCATTTTTAAGTGATTCCTGCTAAGTTTTAAATGAAAATGTTGATTATAAACCAAGGACTATTTGCAGGTGGTGAGGAAGACCACGACCCCGGAAGGCGAGGTCATTCCCATCCATCAGATCGACGTGGAGGGCAACAGCCTGTTCCTTCTTGCTCCGCTCATCATCTGCCACGTCATCGACAAAAACAGGTTCTGTTCAAGTCTTCGTTGAAGAAATGACCTACAGTATTATCTAACTGAAAATGTGGTTAGTTAGTTTGTTTTTACTCGGTGATTTTGAGGGAAAGGTGTGTGTGTGTGTGTGTGTGTGTGTGTGTGTGTGTGTGTGTGTGCGTGTGGGGGGTTCTGCTCAGTAGCTCCATCTGCTGGACAAACACCTCCTTACAGCTTAGAACTGAATGTGACTGTGACGTTTTGATGGTCCCAACAGCCCGCTGTATGACCTGTCAGCCATGGAGCTGCAGTGCAGCGACCTGGAGGTCATCGTCATCCTGGAGGGAGTAGTGGAGACGACAGGCATCACCACTCAGGCCCGGACCTCCTACGTCTCAGAGGAGATCCGGTGGGGTCACCGATTTGTTCCCATAGTAACGGAGGAGGAGGGTGTGTACTCTGTGGACTATTCCAAATTTGGAAACACAGTAAAAGTGAGTTTAAATATGGCAGATGGTATGACATAGTCTAATGGGCCATTCCCATCTGTACCGGGTCGGCCCGGGCCGGGTAGCCCCAGTCGGCCCCAGCCTGGCCCGGTTGATTCCACATATCCTTGCCTTAAGCCCATGTGGGCTGATTCTACCCACCAATCAGAGGCTTGCTCTAATGGAAGGTGTGAATTTGCTGTCAGCAGTGGGTGTGTTGGCCCTGGTCGGCCTGAAGCAGACCCCCTCGAGAAGAGGGCTGAGAATGAGCCTTGGTTGGCCCGGAAAAATACCAGGCCACCCAGATATGTAAACAACCTACGCTACCCGGCCCGGGCCGACCCGGTACAGATGGGAATGGCCCATTAGTTTGACAGCAGGTATGGAAATCTGAGCCGAGGGATAAAACTGATGTTCCTGCAGGTGGCGACACCGAGCTGCAGTGCCAGGGAGCTGGACGAGAAGCCCCACATTTTAATCCAAACTCTTCAGAAGAGCGAGCTGTCCTACCAGAACTCGCTGAGGAAGCGGAACTCCATGAGACGCAACAACTCCATGAGAAAAGTCGCCGGGAGCAGCGGGAACCTGCGCAGGAACACCTCAGGGCTCGTTACTGTGGCCAGTGGAATGTGCCACCGCTAAACCCGGGTGTACGCCGTGTGATTTTTGGAGCTTTTCAGTCGATTTTCCTCTGCGAGAATCTTTGAGGTCGGGGCGAGTTTTGCATTGTGTAGTATAAGTGGGGTAACAAGTGGCGAGTAACATCCCATGGCCAGCTCCCGATCGACAGTCGTGTAGTTGCACGAATACCAAACATCGTCAGGTTATCGCTCTGCTGAAGCAGAGCTCCGACCCAAAAGTACCTGAACCGCTCACACAGCGCTTGCTTCAACACGGCTCCCCAGCTATTTTCACATCAACACACGTTTCATTTCACACATTTCTCTGCACACAATAACAAGGATTGTCAGTTTGCCGTATTTATGTAAAATAAAACGGTCCCAAAAGTGTTTTCTTCTTTTTTTTATCATCCTTCCCTCACCACCAAACCCCTATGTGTCTGTCTACGGCAAGCCTGAAGGACAACAAACTTCGTATAAAGGTTGAGATAAAAAGACAACAGTCTCCCAGGGGCGCCTCCAGAAAACTTTGATAAGGATGGCACTCGAAACTGAGAGTTTAGCCTGTGGCGATGCTTTGCACGTTTCCGAAACACCTAACCCAAATTTGAGACATACAAACATTTCAGAAAAATACATTTCAGCTATTTAAAAAGTTGTTTCAAAATGAATTTTACAATTTTATTTTTAGTTTAATTCACCTGCTGCTGTCTTCACAAAAAACCACGGAGATAAACTTTGAGCAGCAGAAATAAATTATTTTAAATTTCAGATTTTTTTAACTAATAAACTGTATAAAAATTTTATTGAGTTTTTATTTCTTGAATAAATAAGGTGAAGTTATGGTCTGAGTGAACGTTAATATGATTTATTAACATTGTTCTTTTCCTGAAGGGGGGCAGAAATTTTTCCCTGGCCACCCCTTGGGGGCGCCACTGCAGACTCAAAAGTCCCACATTGCTACCATACGTACAGTGTGTAGCCTGGCAAGCCAGACTAAATAAATGTATTATTTAGTCTGGCCACGCTCCATTGAAGGCTCTCGGTTGTGGGGCGGGTTCTACCGTTGTCTTTCAAATGATCTCCGCATTCCACTGGACAATGAATGTGACATACTCTTGTTTCACTCTGTTGCATCATCCCACCCACCAGGCAAATAGAGTGCCCTGATTGGCCCACAAAGCAGATAAAGCTCTGTGATTTGTTCACTAAGCAGATAGAGCACTATGATTGGCCCACCATTATGGACCAATCACAGCTCTTTATGTGTTTGAAACCCCTCTAGAGAGCTGTGATTGGCTAGCCAGAGTCCTGGTAGGAGCTGCTGAGGTTCCAATGGAGCATGCCTAGACCATTCTTTGCAAAGCAAGAATTTGGTCTAGTTCACTAGGCTATACAGTGTGAGCAGTCGGGTCGCCTTCGAGCATCGCGTCATTCAGTGTGAGATCATGACTCGTGAGCTTCCTTCTCTGCAAGGAAGTCGTATCTGTGGCAGTTTCCACACATCGTGCATTTCACCAAAGTCCAGTTCTTTACCCCGACCAGGGAGGGGCAGAACGAACTGACACAAGACTTTGTGGAAGGCCAAAGGGGACAAAATACTGCCTGTAAGGATGCAAAATAAAAAAAATAAAAAACAATAAACAAACTAAAAGCTGCTTCAGCAGGCTAAATAAACAAAGAAAGTAAAAAAAAGAGATTAGTCCTAATATTTTAAACAGTTCACCCATAAGGGGTTAAAAGCACAGACTGCACAGTGATGCAGTGGTTAGCGCTGCTGCCTTGCAGCAAGAAGGTCCTGGGTTCAAATCCGACCTGCATGGAGGTTGCATGTTCTCCCTGTGCATGCGTGGGTTCTCTCCGGGTGCTCCGGCTCCCTCCCACAGTCTAAAACCATGACTGTTAGGTGTGAGTGTGTGTGTGCATGGTTGTTTGTCCTGTGTGTCTCTGTGTTGCCCTGCAATAGACTGGCAATCTGTCCAGGGTGTACCCCGCCTGCATGCCCGGAGACAGCTGGAGATAGGCACCAGCCCCCCGCAACCCTGCGAGGATGAGCGGGTAAAAGATGGATGGGTTAAAAACACAATACTGGCAAGTGTAGCAAAAAGAAAAGGTCAGGATATGGCAAAATAGAGGGAATGATACCAATAAACGCATGGTCTGAGTTCTCATACTAGTGGAAGACACTTGTGCTGCTCTTTATGCACATTTAGTTGACCATCTTGTCCACAAGGATGCACATTTTTACAGGTGGTATTTTGTCCCTTTTGTCCTGCTCTCCCGGGACAAGGCCTCTGGGTGTCCCTGTCCATCTGATAGGTCTTCTTCACTTCCTGTTTGCTGCCTTAACCTGTTTAGAGTCAATGTTAATAATATTGATACAACAACTCCAACGTTGTCGCTCTACCGTGTTTTTCTTGCTAAAAACGCCTGGGAAAAACTTTGTTAGCATCGGGTTAGCGTGTAGCTAATGTTCTGATGATGTCCGACCATGGAGAATGAGCTGATCTGGAAGGCCAGGGCTCCCGGTCTCAGCGGTCTGGTTCTGCTTGTAATTTAACAGTCCCAGTCCATATTAGATCTCCACAGGTGACCAGCATGACTACAGCCTCGCACGGGAGCCAGTCGGTCGTGCAAGTGAGCTACCCCCATCGACATAAATATATGGACAATGGGTTTCCATAAACTCCAATAACAAGTTTTTCTGCTAAAATGGGAGGTGGCCACCACCGCCATTTTGACCGTGTCACAGGTTCCGTCAAGCCCAGACAATTCCATAAAAGGGAAGAGAGGTGGAGCTGAGGGTGGGGCTGTAAGGCTGGGATCAACCAAGGTCATGGTTGGGATAAGCCTCCACAATGGAGATAAGCCTCCACAATGGAGCTCTAAAATTGTGTGAGCGTCCAAGGAGTCTCCACTTCATTTTTTTTCGGTAAGTAAAATTATATTTATGTATTTTAGGTCACTGCCGAGCTGAGCTTAGATTTTAACATGTACTGTTTAACCATGACATTTAAATGTAATAGGGTAAAACCCAGTGCGTTTAACATAATGCTGCATTTTAGAAAATGGGTTGAAATATAACATGTTGGTGGAGCTGGGTTCCCACTATCGGCTTGTGGAGCTCTCGGGAGACCAATGTTTTCCACCGGGAATACTGGCCGTTTCTCCCCGCAGCCCGGTCTATATATATATATATATATATGGTAAATGGCCTGTATTTGATATAGCGCCTTCTAGAGTCCTGGAACCCCCCAAGGCGCTTTACAACACAATCAGTCATTCACCCATTCACACACACATTCATACACTGGTGGGGATGAGCTACGATGTAGCCACAGCTGCCCTGGGGCACACTGACAGAGGCGAGGCTGCCGAGCACTGGCACCACCGGTCCCTCCGACCACCACCAGCAGGCAACGTGGGTTAAGTGTCTTGCCCAAGGACACAACGACAGTGACAGACTGAGCGGGGCTCGAACCTGCAACCTTCCGATTACGGGGCGAGCACTTAACTCCTGTGCCACTGTTGCCCATATATATGTGTGTATATATATATATATATATATATATATATATATATATATATATATATATATATATATATATATATAAACTGTCTACGGCAAGCCTGAAGCACAACAAACTTCGTATAAAGGTTGATATATATATATATATATATATATATATATATATATATATATATATATATATATATATATATATATATACTGTCTACGGCAAGCCTGAAGCACAACAAACTTCGTATAAAGGTTGATATATATATATATATATATATATATATATATATATATATATAAACTGTCTACGGCAAGCCTGAAGGACAACAAACTTCGTATAAAGGTTGAGATATATACTGGGAGGAAGCTTTGGTTCATTTTAAGTTACAGAAGATCTTGTTTCCTATCCAGAGACAGCATGGACATGGGGATCACACAGGACATGTTGGTGCAGTCACACAGCTGCGCTTGAGGGGGACAGGTGTTGTCCTTCTTTATATTGCATGATTGTGTGTTTCTGCCAGCGATCCAAACGGCAGCAGCAGCACCCCCGACAATCATACAACAGCGCCCCCGATCCGGCTGGTTTTGCAAGTGGCCCTCGGACCATTATAACTGAGGACCCCTGGTTTAGGCTCTATTTGGACTCTTATCATCTCATAAAAAGTTTTTGTGAAAGGTGTATTTACATAATAATACAGAAAATTGTTTTTAAAAAACGGAAAATAGTAATATTTCTATATTTTTTCTATTTCCTGACTACGCGCTACGTAGTGTCACGTGATACCGGAAGTGGAATCGGGTGAAGGTAGAAAAGCGGCATGGCTGGGCGCTTGCTGTGCAGAAGTGTCGGTGTTTTGCAGCTCAGCAGAGATGTGCCGCTGCTGTTCGCGTCTCGGTGCTGCTCCCACACCGAACCGGAACCGCTGACAGTGACACGACAAAGTAACGGAATTAGGTGCGTCGATTAAAGGCGTCCGTCGTTTCCCTCACAAGAACTCCTATACAGAAACCTCGAACTTAACGAAAAAGTTAAAACTCTTGAACAAAGCTCGTTCCAGTGGTCCGCAGACTACTTTACTTACGATTGTAGGATAAATTAAGCGTTAAAATTAGCTCAATATAGTTGACCTTCATTCACTTAATTTGTTAAATCATAAAAGTGAATTATTTATATATTCACTCTGCAAACGTTTTAATTATTTCTAGTATTAATGTGTTTTTTCAACTACAGATGATTAAAACCAAAAATTAGAGCTCCTGAACCAACTGAATGATAAAACGTTTGGAAAATAATTTGGAGTTGTTCACAATTCAAAGATAAATGTTTCTACCAACAATATCCTTAATTACGTTTCCACTTCACTAAATTTACCTTCTTTGTGTTAAAAGAAGGAGCAGAACATTCCAGTCTTGAGGGTGTAAATCACTGTTCATCATCATGGAGAAACCCAGAAGTAACAGAGCTGAAATTCACGTTAAGCTTATTCAGATGTGCTAAAACTGAGCGCTTCTTATCTTCCAGGAGGATCATTTTAAATAATGCCAAGAAAAGGAACGCTCTGTCCCTGTCCATGCTGGAATCTTTGAGAGAAAACATCCGGACTGGCGCTGACTGTGACCATCTCAGAGTCATCATCATATCAGGTTTGAGTTTAGGAAACAGGCGGGTTTGTAAAACGTTCCAACAGAGTTTTGCTTTTTCAGCCACAGGTCCGGTGTTTTCATCTGGGCACGACCTGAAGGAGCTGACGTCCTCGCAGGGCCGGGAGCACCACACCAAGGTGTTCAACACCTGCACTGAGGTTTGTCCTCGTTTACCTGGGTGGGATTGATGCCTTTCTACATTCATGTGTTAAATAATCCATGAAGAATAAAAGTAGGAAGATGAACTCATGAGAATAATTTCATTATTATTATGAGAGAAGTTACAGAAACACAGAGGTCATTGGGTTGATGCGACGCTCTGGTGTTCCAGGTGATGACCCTGATACAAGACGTACCCGTTCCAGTCATCGCCATGGTAAATGGCGTCGCCACGGCGGCTGGCTGCCAGCTTGTTGCCAGCTGTGACATCGTCGTGGCGACCGATAAGTCCACATTTGCTACTCCGGGTGTCAACGTGGGTTTGTTTTGTTCGACGCCGGCAGTGGCCATCGGCCGAGCGGTGCCGAGGAAGGTACTGAAGGAGTCCAGGAACTGCTGATTACTAGTAGAGCTGGTTTTTGAGGGATGGCTCAACTGTTTATGGGACCATGAATCAGGATTTGTGACACATGATTTAATGTCTAGCTCCGTCAGTGGATCCCATGTCTCTCTCAGACCAGAGAGGTCTGGGTTTGTCCCAGAGCTGGGAAATCCCCAAGGAGGAGGCAGCCAGGAGCAATCCTGATCCAGAATAGCTCAACTGCTTTTTCTGATGAGGAGGAGCAGCAGCACTTCTACCTCCTCCTCTGGAGGGTGGACCATCTCTAATTCTAATATCCCAAGCTGACCATACCCCCCCCCCCCCCCCCCCCCCCATTAAGGAAGATCATGTCTGCCTCTTGGATTCAATCACCTTTAGGTCACAATGAAAATGTAATGACTATAGGCTGAGGGTTTCCCTACCTGTGCTTTGTCTCCCTGCCCCAACACACCTGGTCTGTAACAACAGCTGATTAACGTGCTCCTGAAGAACTTTAGGGCCTGCTGAAGAGATGATTCAACCACTGGGTCAGGTGTGTTGGAGCAGGGGAACAGCAGAAACCTGCAGGGCAGTGGCTCTCTGAGACCAGGATTGGATATCCCTGTTTAGATGGATATCACCTTTTGGCTCAGACCCTTCTCAACCAAATCAGACTGAACCAACTCTTTCATTACTAAAGACTAACCCCTGATCCTTTAGTTCATGGCTCCTCCAGCAACTCACCTCCAACCCAGAGAGGATGACACCCTTTTTCATTAAAGAACCCTGACCGCACATTTGAAGGAGCGATTTCTCATTCTAGTTGTGAACCATCTCGGTGCACACTGAAGGTCGTGGTTCAAAGATGACAATAGAACCAGGACTTATATCCCAAACCAGACACACTCCCTCCATGACTCTAGACCCTCAGACAGGATCAGTGACAACAGCCAGCCCTGGAGTCCAACCCTAGCTCAGCTCTTGATTTGCTTGTCCAGGTCTACTCAGAACATCGTTGTTCCTCTTGGGTGCCCCCTGCTGGTGTGGAGTTGAGTTTGGTTTTTACTCAAAATAAATGATAATAAAAAAATAACGATTTTAAAAACACTTATGAAATTAAAGACAAAAAACTTTTTGGAATTGAAATTTCATTTGGTTTTGTTTGTAAACAAGGTTGCCATGGAGATGTTGTTTACTGGATCTCCGATCTCAGCCCACGATGCTCTGCTGCATGGTCTGATTAGTAAGGTGGTACCGGAGGAGCGACTGGAGGAGGAGACGTTGGCCATCGCCCAGCGAATCTGTCGAACTAGCCGGCCAGTCGTTGCTCTCGGCAAGGCCACTTTCCAAAGGTCAGAGTTTCATCTGGACAATCACATTCTGGTCATTTTTATTGGTTTTAAACACGTTTAAACATTTGTATGTGTTTTGATTTTCTTCTAAAGACAAATGGCTCAAGGCAGAGATGCAGCTTATGCCACCGCCTCCAAAGTGATGGTGGATAACCTGGCAATGAGGGATGGGCAGGAGGGAATCCGGGCCTTTATCGAAAAACGCAGACCAGTGTGGAGCCATGAAGCAGGAAAAACCCACGACTGAAGATTTAAAATTTATAATTACCAAGATTCTAAAGAGTAAAGTTTTTATAGATGTCTTCATCCAGACTAAACCTCAAACCACTTTGTGCCTTGAAAGCTGCAGCGTGGTTTGCAGGTATTTGGATATTACTCTTTGTGTTTAGTGTCCTTGTCACCAGTGAAAGTCAGAGTGAAATCAGCCAGAAATGAATAATTGTACAAATTTATTGATGCAATCATTAATAAGCTCTGTGGCCATATGTATTCTATTGGAAGTAATGTGATTAAACTCTGTTTTCTTGCAATAAATGCAAAAAGCATTCCTGAAATGCTTTTGATGTTTATTACTGAGGGTTAAAGTTTAATACTTAATTAAATTCATATTGGATCCCAGCATTGTTTTTTGTCTTGTATTGTAAATTTAGTGAATGGCCACATGGTGGTGCAATTGTGTTTAATAATTCAAATTAAAGAAGAAATTTTTCTTTATAATTTATATTTAATTGTTGTAAACATCTTAAGAGTCATATGCTCTAGTTTCCAAGAGACACATCTTAGAGTATTTGTCTCATGAGGTCATGTCTTAAAGTATGTGTCCTATAATGGCATGTGTCTTTCAATTCAAGTTTATTTATATAGCGCCAAATCACGATAAGAGTCGTCTCAAGGCACTTCACATAATAAAAATTCCAATTCAGGTCAGTTCATGAAGCCAATCAGAAATAATGTTTCCTATATAAGGAACCCAGCAAATTGCATCAAGTCACTGACTAGTGTCAGTGACTGTACAGCAATCCTCATACTAAGCAAGCATACAGCGACAGTGGAGAGGAAAACTCCCTTTTAACAGGAAGAAACCTCCAGAGAATCCTGGCTCAGTATAAGCAGCCATCCACCACGACTCACTGGGGATCGAGAAGACAGAGCAGACACACACACACGCACACACAAAGACAAGTAATGTGTCTGTAGTTATATTGTGATGTCTTAGTAAATATTGTATTTGGTGAAAGATAAACTTTATTGTATTTATCCTAGTGGATCTATAATTAAACGGATAAACTAGTATTAGCACATCAAAAGTCAATGAAAACAAAAAGTTATTATCAGGAGAGAGAGAGAATGTATTAGTGGTTAGCAGCAGTGTGCTACTCGATGGCCCCCTCCATGAGGCCACCACACCTCAGCAGAATGTCATTGTAGCTTCTTCTGGGGAGAAAAACACTTACAGAGGAAATAAAGTTAACAGCTGAAATTGCACAAAATAATACAGTTAAAGAGCAGACTGTAGAAGAAAGCAGTAGAGTGTGAAAAGTGGTCAGTGTATCCTCCAGCAGTCTAAGCCTATAGCAGCATAACTACAGAGATAACTCTGGATAATCTACCCTATTTAGATGTAGGCATGTTGGAGGCAGGGCAAGGGAGAGCCGTCTTTACCGACTGTACACTCCACCTCCCCGTACAACCCCACTTGTCCTGATTTAGGCTAACATCAGATTTTAACCATAGGCCCTATCAAATAAAAATGTTTTAAGCCTAGTCTTAAAAGTAGACAAGGTGTCTGCCTCACGGACTAAAGCTGGGAGCTGGTTCCACAGGAGAGGAGCCTGATAACTAAAAGATCTGCCTCCCATCCTAAGTTTAGATATTCTTGGAACCACCAGTAGACCTGCAGTCTGAGAGCGAAGTGCTCAGTTAGGAACATATGGAACAATCAGATTACTGATGTATGATGGACCTTGATTATTAAGAGCTTTATATGTGAGAAGAAGGATCTTAAAATCTATTCTGAATTTAACAGGTAGCCAATGTAGGGAGGCTAAGACAGGAGAGATATGATCTCTCTTTTTAATTCTCATCAGAACTCTAGCTGCAGCATTTTGGACAAGCTGAAGACTTTTAACTACATTTTGTGGACTTCCTGAGAGTAATGAATTACAGTAATCCAGTCTTGATGTAATAAATGCATGAACTAGTTTTTCAGCATCACTACTGGAAAGTATGCTTCTAATCTTAGCAATATTCCGAAGGTGGAAAAAGGAAATCCGACAAACTTGTGAAACCTGGGATTTGAATGACATGTCCTGGTCAAAGATAACACCAAGGTTCCTTGCTTTGTTCTCGGAGATTAATGTAATGCCATTAAGGTCAGGCGATTGGCTAAGCAATTTCCTTTTCTGGATTTCTGGTCCAAAGATGAGAACTTCCGTCTTGTCTTGATTTAAAAGCAAAAAGTTTAGAGCCATCCAATTTTTTATGTCCTCAAGACAAGCCTGTAATCTACCCAACCAATTAGGTTCATCAGGGTTAATGGATAGATATAACTGAGTATCGTCAGCATAACAGTGGAAGTTTATCCCATGCTGTCTAATGATTTTACCAATTGGGAGCATATATATAGTAAAAAGAATTGGTCCAAGCACTGAACCCTGTGGTACTCCACAAGTAACCCTGGAGTATGAAGAAGATTTGTCATGTACATTTACAAAATGAAATCTGTCAGACAGGTAGGATTTAAACCAGCCTAACGCTGTTCCTTTGATCCCTACAACATGTTCAAGCCTTTCTAAAAGAACATTGTGATCAACTGTGTCAAAGGCAGCACTGAGATCTAACAAGACTAGAACAGACACAAGATTCTTATCTGAGGCCATGAGAATGTCATTTGTAACTCTAAAACCAGACTGAAATTCCTCAAACAGAGCATTAGTGTTTAAATGCTGACATACTTGGATGGCTACTATTTTCTCCAGGACTTTGGATAAAAATGGAAGGTTAGATATTGGTCTATAATTCATTGGGTCATCTGGATCCAGAGAAGGCTTCTTAAGTGAAGGTTTGATTACAGCAACCTTAAAATCTTTTTGGTATATACCCATTTACTAAGGATAGATTGATTATATCTAGAATGGGGGCAGTAACCAAAGGAAATGCATCTTTAAATAATTTGGTTGGGATTGGATTCCAAATACAAGTTGAATGTTTAGATGAAGCTAATATTTTTGATAACTCTGAAAGCTCAACTGGATCAAAACGGTTCAAGCACAGATGAGGTTCTAAAGTCACCTCTGAAGCTGCCTCACTTACTGAGGAAGAAGAAATCGCATTAGGGAGGATGCTAAAGATTTTGTTTCTAATAGAATTAATTTTACTTGTAAAAAATCCCATGAAGTCATTGCTGCTGAGGGCTAAGGGAATAGATGGCTCAGAGCTATGATTCTGTGTAAGTTTAGCAACTGTACTGAAAAGAAATTTAGGATTATGCTTATTCTCCTCAATAAATGCTGAAAAATAAGCAGTTCTAGTTTGTTGAAGCTTATTTTTATAAAGCACAAGACTATTTTTCCAGGATAGGTAGGCCTCCTCATGGTGCGTAGAGCGCCATGTTCTCTCCAATCTCCTAGAGTTTTGTTTTAAGGCTCGTAGATGAGAGTTAAACCAGGGAGCCAACTTCCTGTCCCTTATTACCTTCTTTTTTAAAGGGGCAACATCATCTAATGCCACACGTAAAGAGGAATTAACATGATGAACTAAGGCATCAATTTGTGAGGGGCTAGAACTGAAAATATTGCCCTCTGCTACATGCCTCTGAGATGCTGAGGACAGTAAAGATGGAACAGTTGATTTAAAAGACGCAACTGCGTTGTCAGATAGAGACCGACTGTAGTGAAATTTACTTTCATGTTTCGAGAACTCAGTTATAAAAAACTCAAAGGTTATCAGAAAGTGGTCAGAGAGGACTGGATTATGTGGAAAGATCGTTATTTCCTCACACTCTATGCCATAAGTCAGCACAAGGTCCAATGTATGATGGCAGGAGTGGGTGGAGCTATGTATTCTTTGAGTAAAACCAATTGAGTCTAAGATATTACTAAAGGCTACATTGAGGCAATCATTTTCGATGTCCACATGAATGTTGAAATCCCCCACTACAATGACCTTATCAGTATTTAGCACCAAATCAGATAAAAAATCAGAGATCTGATCCAAAAACTCAGAGTAAGGGCCTGGTGGACGATATAAAACTACAAACGAGAGTGGTTTTACAGTTTTGCAATCTGGATTAGGAAAACTAAGAATAAGATGTTCAAACGAACTGTAACTATTAATCTGTCTTGGCATGTGACTTACTATAGTATGTGTCCTATTATAGCATGTGTCTTACTATACTATGTGTCCTATTACAGTATGTCTTACTATAGTATGTGTCCTATTATAGCTATGTGTCATAGCATGTGTCTTAATATAGTATGTGTCATAGCATGTGTCTTACTATAGTATGTGTCCTATTTTAGTAAGTCTTATGTGTCTTACTATAGTATGTGTCTCACCATAGTATGTGTCCTATTATAGCATGTGTCTTACTATAGTATGTGTCATAATATAGCATGTGTCTTACCATAGTATATGTAATATTACAGTATGTCTTACTATAGTATGTGTCCTATTATACTATGTGTCTTAGCATGTGTCTTACTATAGTACGTGTCCTATTATAGTATGTTTTAGTATAGTATGTGTCTTACCATAGTATGTGTCCTATTATAGCATGCGTCTTACTATAGTATGTGTCCTATTATAGCATGTGTCTTACCATATAATGTGTCCTATTATACCATGTGTCTTAGCATGAGTCTTACTATAGTATGTGACATTATAGCATGTGTCTTACTATAGTACGTGTCCTATTATAGTATGTCTTAAAATGTGTCTTACTATAGTATGTGTTAGGGATGAGCCGGATACTCGTTTCAGACGAGTATCCAGTACGGATGAAGCATTTTTGACAAGTACGAGCATGAAACGAGTAAAACTCGTAAATATCTGTAATTGTGCTGAAGAAAAATCCTCATTGGGTAACTGACTGTCTTCACGCTGTGTGATTGGCCAGTCAAATAGAGCGCCCACCCCTCCCTACACACAAAACTCAGCAGCCGGGAGCTCACAGCTCAGTCCGCGTCCGGTCCATCCACGCACACACACAGTAACGGATCTCTCTGTTCACAGTTCACGTTTCTTCAGTACTCCCTATGTTTTCTTCAGTTTGCTCCTGTTTAAAGTGACTTTAACCCTTTGGTGCATGAATTATGAAATCTTGAACCATGATTTTTTAAACAATTTTTTTTCATTCGTCTTTTGGTGTGAATGAAACAAATTTCAACAAATATTTTTTGTAAAATTCTATAATTTACAAATAGTTTATTACATGTCAGCCTCAGTGGACAGCGTGCATTCTGAACATGAAATATGTTTGCTTGCCTTACTGAAGTACAAATGGAGGGGCTCAAATGCAATAAAGTCTTCAACAGCTGTGCTTAATAGCAAAAACAAATAACAATTTTGAGTACCTGTCCACTGTAGTGACCATTATGCATCAAAGGGTTAAGGTTACT